ATATAATAATTATTATTATTATTACAGATAATAAGTCAGCATTTAAAAAATCATTTTTACCAGATAATAAATCAGCATTAATGCAGTGAGTTGTTCTTTATTCCTTAAAAAAACTAAAAAAACAAAACAAAACATAAAACTTTTCAAAAGCCATTTATTAGAGAGAAAATCTGCTCTTATTAAATATCTGGTCATATCATTTTAAGCAGAGAGTGCATCTACATCACTCGCCTACATGCAGCAATCTTTATAACCCATACTGGAGTTTTTGTCCCATTTCCCATTGAATGTTAATCTAGGGTGAAGGGGTGGATGTTAATTAAAGGCTCATTCCTCAAATAATTGGCCTTTATGGCTGAGATGAATTTCAATAGAGGTGGTTTCAGAAACCAGTCGTGCTTGCACTCTTATATAAGTAAGCACCTGGGCTTAAGTATTCAAGAAATGCACAAAGCCATTAACTGCAGCCGCTTCCTGCCTGCCTATACAGTTTCTATAAATCTTCTCACACAAAGGCATGTTAAATAAAGTTGCTGAAAGAAATCAATGGCCTACATATCAAATATTCATTGAAATGTTTTGGGCAAACTAACATTGTGGCCTTGATATCAGGTGTACTTATGTCAAAACCTCACTTTCACTGATGTCTAAAGTGATACCATACACTGTTCAAGAGTGTGTTACTCCATCACAATTTTTGTGTGTGTCACTTTTTTGCTTGTTTTCTACTATACAATATACAATGTAATCGACTATAATATAAAAAAATCCCTTTAAGTTGATCAGGATATTTCCACTTTTGGAATAACTAGATCAAATGTACTTGGCCAAGTATAGTTTACGTTATTTTTTTATTTTTATTTTTTTTGAGGCACCAATGTCTTTGTCCTCCATGAATTACATGCAGGGTCTTCTCTCTTTTGACTGTTATACTATAATGTCAATGTAGCTGCAGCTGTGAGGCTGCTCCAGGTAGATTTGAATACGTTCCTACCTGGCATACTGACACTAATTAATTAATCACGTGCTTGGCCAAGAGGGCAACTTCAGTATGGACGTGAATCCTATGCTTTCCTTCAGCAATCATTCACCAACCTGATCAATGATCCATTCATCCCTTCACTTTCTGTTAAGGTTGAATATAACGGTCAAGAGTCTTGCTGCTGATCATATTCTCTTGGTCTATGAATATTCATGAGCAGCCACAACATGCATGATGTGTAGAATAGAACATCTTGCCAAGTATGTTCCTAAAGCCATTCATTAATGTCATTTTAAGGATGACAGTAACACATTAATAATTTCCTTTAGTGGACAACACTTAATTTCAGAGTTCACAATAAATGCCCTGTCATTTTCCAACCACATAAATCCACGGTTAATCTCAATCACATTCTGTTCCTTCAGCAGTCAAAACAAAAGCAGCTTAATTAGCAAGGCAGGAAACACTGTCATAATCTGTTTAGGGCAATACAAACCTTAGCCACACACAAGCCTGAACCCAACATGGTACGCTGTCTGAGAGTGAAAGAGAGTCACAAGACCTCTCCTGTGGTAAAAAAGGCTTTTGAAGCACTTGAGTGATTCTTACAGTATCAAACTCCCCCATTCTGAAATGAATATCACTCCTTCTCTCAACCTCGCTTTCGTCTAAAACCCCATAAGGGCCAATGCGAGCAACAAAAGCCACACAGGTTTGCTTGTCAGCAGCAGTTCATGTGGCACCCTGACTTTCCCAGGATTGACTGTCAGTGAGTCTTAATACCTGCTCATCATTTTACTCACACTGGCCTGGGTTACACAACTTGGCACATAGACATAGAAAACTCCCTGCCTTCATTTGGTCTGATAGTCTCCCTGTCATTGTCTGAATGCTCTGGGGCAGTTAGGCTCAGACTGATAGACTCCCCTTAATGAGTTTGATACTGTAGTCTCCAACAAGAAGAGTACGAGTCGCTCTACTCTTTCTTTTCTAGGAATGTGTGACAACTTTCTTGCAAATTCCTGTACAGCCTCTAAATAGGGGTAAAGTCATTTAACACACATTTCCAACAATTTAACACTGCTTTGGAGATAAGGAACCTTAATTAAAAGATTACATACAAATTACCCAGATCAAAGTTTTTACAGTGGGACAGGAAAAAGCCTTTATTTCTTGTTCGGGTATTGTTGTTCCTGTGATATTTCTGACTCCATTTGTTCTGGCTGTTTTTGTATTTAGGCTTCTACAAAAATAAAATGAGCATAATTATTTTAGTTTTGTATCTAGACATACCTAGACATCTGGGAGCCACTGTCGAAAATTGCTTGCTAAAAAGGGTGGTGTTCATAGGGCTACACCTACATAAACCCTTCATGATCCCCAACCCATCCCCACCAACCCAACCCACACACACAAACTCTTCTCCCCACACCCACCCCCCAAAATGAGCCTCATCATCACCTGTTTGATGTGAACATTGACTGATGCTCTTGACCTGTATCTGCAGAATTTTATGCATTGGGCTGTGCTGCCACATGATTGGCTGATTAAATAATCCAGTATACAGCGCTGTGAAAAAGTATTTGTATCTGATTTCTTTTCTTTGCGTGTTTACCTAATATTCAATACTTTTGGAGCTTCAAACGAAATACAACTTCAAACAAAGACAACCTGAGTAAACACACAATACGGTTTTTATTTTTTGTTTTTACATTTTTTTTACTGAAGCAAAAAAAGTTCTCCAACATATATCACCCATGTGAAAAATGAATTTCCCCCTTAAACGTAAAATCTGGTTGTGCCATCTTTAGCAGCAATAACTGCAACCAAAAGCTTCCGATAACTGGAGATCAGTCTTTCACAGAGCTGTGGTGGAATTTTGGCCCACTCTTCTTCGCAAAACTGCTTTAGTTCAGTCACATTGGTGGGTTGCCAAGCATGAACTGCCCGTTTAAGGTCCTGCCACAGCATCTAAATTGGTTAAACTTTTACTAGGCCACTACAAAACTTTAATTTAACTTTTTTTGAGCCATTCCAAGGTGGACTTACTCCTATGCTTTGGATCAGTGTCTTGCTGTAAAATCCAGCTGCGCTTGTGTTTCAACTTATGGACTGAAACCGGACATTCTCTTTTAGGATTTTCTGGTGGAGAGCTGAATTCATGTTTCCCTCAATTGATGCAGATTGCCCAGGCCCTGAAGCAGCAAAGTATCCCCACACCATCACACTACCTCCACCACCATGCTTCACCATAGCTATGATGTCCTTTTTATGGAACCTGTTTATCTTCTAAACAGTTCCACTTTCGACTCATCAGTCCACAGAACATTCTCCCAAGAGGTTTGAGGATCATCAAGGTGTGTTTTGTTAAAATTCAGACGAGTCTTAATGTTCTTCTGGGTTAGCAGTGGTTTTCACCTCTTCCATGGATGCCATTTTTGCCCAGTGTCTTTCTGATAGTGGAGTCATGAACAGTGTTCTTTATTGATGCAAGAGAGGCCTGTAGGTCCTTTGATGTTGTCCTCAGCTCTTTTGTGACTTCCTGGATGAGTCGTCGCTGTGCTCTTGGAGGATTTTTGGAAGGTCGGACACTTCTGGGAAGGTTCGCTACTGTGTTGAGTTTTTCCATTTGGAGACAACGTCTCTCACTGTGGTTCTCTGGAGTCCCAGAGCCTTTGAAATAGCTTTGTAACCCTTCCCATACTGATGTCTTTCTATCACCTTCTTCCTCATCACTTCTGGAATTTCTTTCAACTTTAGCATAGTGTGTTACTGAGTAAGAACTTTTAACCAACTTTATGCTGTTGAGAAAGTTCTATGTAAGTGTAGATGTGATTGAACAGGGTTTGCAGTAATGTGACATGGTTGTGTCTAGTCCAGCTGAACCCCATTATCAATGCAGCTTCATAGATATGGTGAATTAGTAACTATGGGGCAAATACATTTTCACACAGGCCCAGCTGTTATTGGATAACTTTTTTCTTCAATAAATAACATTATCATTTAAAAACGGTATTGTGTGTTGACTCAGGTTGCCTTTGTTTTATCTTACATTTTGTTTTAATTTAAAAAAATTAGTATGAGACACAAAACACACAAAAACACAAATACACAAAAACAGAAGAAATCATGTCTTTTACTCAATACTTTTTTCACTGCACTGTGCAAACAATGCACACTACTTCTGCACTAGGTCCAACGAAACAATTTGCAATTTCCAGGTTGGATATCACAGGATACCAAACTTTGTATGTAAATATAAATAAAAATGTTGTTTAACAAACACTAAAGTCAGTAGGTAATTGTAAGTGGTGTATTTAATACAGAAAATCCCTTCTAATAGTTCTGCATTGTGCCTGAAGTTCTCTGGTATAACTTTCAAATAGTTTATGTAACTGCAGGTCACATTGTGGTTTCGGGGCACTCACTAATAAATGTCTCAATCGAAGGCCATGTGTCTATTACCGCTACTCCTACAGTGCTCTACATAAAACAGCCTATATAGTAAATAATAAACTAGGGATTTCAGGACAGATTTCACATAGTCTTCAAATAAAACAACTGTGTATAACAGTTTCCCTGAACTTATTGTTATATTCATGTAGTCCACCCAATAAACTAGTGCACCCACAGAGTAAAATGCTATAATACACATAGTGTTATAATACAAAAATCTTAAGCACCCCACATTTAGTGTCTCAGTGGAAAAAAAAAAAAAAAAAAAAAAAATATATATAATATATATATATATATATATATATATATATATATATATATATATATATATATATATATTGTGTATTTTAAGTAAAGATGATTTTTATTAAAAGACCCTTAGAAGACCACCCAGCAGTGAGTGTTTGCAGTTTTAAACACATTTAATTCAGTTTAATTTTGTGGTTTTACTGGTTACTGCTCAATAAACAGTAGGAGTTATTTGGATACCTAGAAACTACAGCATTATTTCATGATCTCTGAAAGTATCTTTGCTCGACATAATTAATTTAAATATGCCTATGACTTTGGTGGCTTAGTGGTTAGAACATTCGCCTCACGCCTCCAGGGTCCGGGGTTCGATTCCCACTGGGGCCATGTGTGTGTGGAGTTTGCATGTTCTCCCCCTGCTGCGGGGGTTTCCTCCGGGTAATTCCTCCCCAAAGATATTCATTCACAAGATGCATTATCTCCCCAGAGATAATGAAATAATGCTGTAGTTTCTAGGTATCCAAATAACTCCTACTGTTTACTGAGCAGTAACCAGTAAAACCACAAAATTATGAGCAGTATCCAGTAAAACCACAAAATCAAACTGAGACATGCATGGTAGGTAGATTGGTGTGTCTAAACTGTCCAGGGGCATAGGCTTCAGGGATAGGCTCCAGGTTCCCTGTGACCCTGAAGAAGGAATAAGCGGATGAAGATGGATGGATGCCTATGACTTTTCCACAGTACTAGATATAAAAGTCTGCAGTATTTCAAATTTTTCAAAGTAACATGTTCAAATTTTGACATGAGGGTCTTGTACTGCATATCTTTGTCTCACATCAGAGCCTTTCACCCAAGTCATATCTACGAGGAGACTCCTACTGGAGGGATCTAAATCTCTACACAACAACGAGCAGCCATAACTCTATCAGGTCAGAGTTCAACACAGATATTTTATCATGTCAATCAAAGTGAGCTGGAGAGGTTTTTGAAAGAGCAACCTGAAAGAGAAACAAGGTTTCATTGCCAATCAGAAGCTGGATTTTCTGTTCCATGCTTTTGAAAGTTTGTAGGTATCCACAAAACCTCATCCCTCCCTACCAATTTCCCCCCAAGAATACACAATATATATATAAAGCACAAACAGTGGTATTAACAATTAAGTTAAAAAAAGGGCAACAAAACAATCGGACACATTACATTTACACTGAGCGCAGTGCATCCCCATTGCAGTTAAATTTCCAGACCAAAAGTAAGAATGAAAATTCTGTGGTCTGATAAAACTTGTCTGAAGATTTAACCATTTGTCTTAAATGCCATACATCTGGAGGAAACCAGGTATCACTCATCAACTGGCTACTTCCATTGCATGAAGTACAGTGGTGGCAGCATAATGCTTTTGCGATATTTTTCAGCGGGGACTAGAAGGAAAGATGAATGAATCAGAGCACAGAGACATTCTTGCCTCTGGACACAGCTGAAAAAATTGTCACAGTGTCACTTTCCATACACAGGAATCAGTTATCTAATCTACATGCTGTACTATGTTACGTGCTCACAAACTCCCTACCAAACACATGCTTACAGGATTTAGAAAAGGCAATGAATATTAAATAATATTAAATAACTCAAACATGTAGGAATTTCTTTCCTTGTGCTGCATGCATAATAGAAAGATAATAAACAGAAAGATTAAGTAACACATGATTACAGGATTCCCGAGAATCATACTTGAATGGTTGTAACTATAGTTTTGGGCTGTAAAATTAAGGATAGAGTGTGTGTGTGTGTGGGTGTGTGTGTGTTTGAGTAAGTGAAAGACTAAACAAAGTGAAAAATAAAACCCAGTGTTATTTATGAGAAAGAAAACAAAAGAAACAGTGTGATTTATGTCCTGAATTATGGTTTTTTTTTCCCGCATTTTCTCTGAAAATCTAATATTGTGTCTTGCAATAAACAGATGGAAGCTCACTAACATTTAAAATCTGCACAACTGCAACTGTGGAACTGTCAGGTCTTTGTCCTAATGTCTTGGCCAATCCCAGCCTCAGGCACCAACAAACCCAGCCTCTTAAATCGTTTTTTTTTTTTTTTTTTTTTTTCCACCTTTTGCACAACCGAGGGAGAGGAGAACATTCCATCCTGTTATACTAAAAGGTAAGAGAGCATAAATAAGAAACACAGTATGTACTCATATTCTTCCTGTCTTACGGAACATGTCGCACTGAAATCATACCTTTAAACAAGACCTTCCACTTATGGTATTTAGCTGAAAACACATCTGGGGATGAGGGGGTTGCTGTTACATAAAGGACTGCGTAAAATTTCACTGCTCATCTTCCAGCCCAACTTTACCCAGTAGCATTAGTCTCCATAGTCATAACAGTTCCTCTCTCAGAGTGAAAGGAAACATTACGGCCGATCTCTCACCTTCCCTGCCCACTGTGATTACCACTGCATTCCATCCTTTGAAGGCAGCACATTTCTGTCTGACATGCATCATGGGAAAAAATATTATCAGACTTAATTTTCTCCAGGCTTCCTGTTATTTGGAACATTCCATGAATAGTATTTTTTTTGACTATATCACCTCTGCTAATGAGGGTCCCATGCTAAATCTTGCCATTTATTTGATAGTCATAAAACGCTAACTGATGGTGCAGGCTGTGTTACGTTATGAGCAACAACGCAATCTTCCTTCAAAATATAAAAGGGAAAAAAAATAAGATTTAACCAAGATTTATGGGAAAGATGATTCCAGTCATCAGGGTGGAAAAAGAAACAGTTCACTACCAGTAAGCAAGAATGTACATAGCCCTACCAACTACCCCGCTTCCCATCATCTCAGCATGTCACTTCCTGTTTGGGTTGCATGAGGTGTGCAGGAGCCATTCTCTTGCTGGGATTTTTTGTCTGCTCACCTGCATGAGATCCCATTTAACTGCGCTTCGTATCCTGTAAGGCAATCTCTCTCATTTTTTGGCCATAATATTTTGGCATTTGAAACAAAAGCATTCATGGTGAGTTCAGAACCAGTGAACTCATACTTTAAATGCTGACTCTGTCCAATAGTTGATATTGGCTAAAACAGTGTATAAAATGTATTTTTAATATGTTCATTTATTAATGTACATCCTAGCTGCACTGTAAAACCGGATAAGTTCATTTAACTATGTTGATAATTCAATTTCTTTAAGCCAAATACACTTAAATATAACAAAAAAATATTTTAAATTACAAAGTTTGAGTAATTTTTTTTTAAATATTTAAGTATATTTGGTGTAAAGAAATTGATTCATCAACGTAAAAATTTTGAGGTAATTAGTTTCCTCAAATTCTTTGAGTTAAATGAACTATATGGTTTTACAGTGTGCATATTGTCATGTAATACAATAAAGTAGTAAAGGTGTTTGTTTACAGGTGATACTTGCATGCCTACATTGATGTACTCATAAATGTTCCTAGGTAGAGCTCCAGGCTCTATGAGCTAAATATGCACATGGTTACTTAATACACCCAACTACTTTTTCATTGATGATGTTTGGTTATTTATGGATATTTGTTGACATCTCAAATTCCAGCTCTATTAAATGTCAGCTCATTTTCTTTCTCGTGTGTATTATGTTAAGGAAAACCATTTATCAACTCCCACTCCCATCATGGTGCTCAAAAACTATTTGATTCATAGCAAACATTGTATGGTAAAAAAACAAAAAAACATCAGATCTATATATAGAGTTTTGTGGTGCTATTAGTGAGTACAGCTAGTTATGGTGGTCTGTACTTCAACCACACCAAAATAAGTTAAGAATGGTTTTAGAAAAATATTTGTATTTGTTAAATATAATGATACGCATTCATCTAAAATAGGTTTCTGTAAGCAGAAGCGTGTGAGTCAAAGCACTGGAAACACGGCAGTAACCTTTACATAACCAGACTCTTCATCTGGGAGACCCGTATCACTCTGTGGTAAGCGTCTGAAAAGCAACAGAATATTTTTTCGTGTAATCAACATAATATTGCTCTTGAGCAATATTATTTTTGCTCAAAACAGTTATTTGACAGCCACAGGGCTTTTTTTTTTTTTGGTATCCGACTAGTAACGCTTTGCTCTCAACCTCAAGTCTCCTTCCATTGTGGTCTCTGTGATCACTTCCAACACTCTGAATGATAAGTTAGCAAAAGATGGAGCGATGGAGAGAAAGAGCACATGCCATTCTAATGGAATAAACTTTACTGTCAAATGACGCGTAAGAAAACACTTTGGTGCAGACAGCTGTAATGTGACCACTGGGAATTTTTTTGTCCCACAATGTACCTTTATAGATGTTTTGCTTCTGCGTTCCTTGGGGCTGTGTGGTTAATCCAGACACGGGGGGAAGGTTTTATCAGTTTATTTTTTAGTTTGCACCTGCTGGGATTATTACTGGTAGAATCACTCATGCATGTAAAACATATTTTTCAGGTCTTACAAGGGGGTGTTTTATTTTATAATGTGGAAATGTTTATGATTTAAATTGAGATAGTGGATGGATTGGATGGAGAACTTTTCAGAGTTGAAGTGTGAAATGACACGTTCATAATAAATAAATAAATAAATAACTAAATAACTAAATAAATAAATAAATAAATATTTATGTGCATATTAACCAACCAACACTGATGCAGAATTATTGGTCAGAATTGGGGAAATAATTCAAAATATCTTTATAGCTGAACCTCATTTAAAACTTTCAGCCAGCTGACCAAGCCAAAATAAAACCTACATATTTGTGGCCATTATCTGACTAAAAAGTGTCACTGATATCTAATAAACAGCCTCAAGTTTGAACCAAAATGAAGTACACATGTTTAAAACATTAAAGATGCATTACAAACACCAGACACTTACCATACCTAGCTATAACATACTGAAATAGGTCCTACATGTTTATAAAACACTGATTGGTAGCAAAGCATGCCAATCACTCCATGGAATTTCTGCCTTTTGGCACTAACCCTGTCCTCCACACCAATCTCCTTCAGTAAGAGATAAATCATCAGTGACTTTTAATGCATGTCCTGTCAAGCAGGCCTGAGAATTAGAGAACAGGTTGGTATATCAGTGATTGCTAGGAGTGTTGTCATCACAAGTCCCAGTATGGACCCTCAGGGTACTGTGGGCCTAGTACACAGTAGTAAAGGCAGTCAAAATGGCCATGAAAATGCCTGACAGCACATCAGATGTGTTCATACCTGAGTCGTCTTTACAGTAATGTGTGTGAGTAAGCTTCTCACCTGGTTTCATTGCTCTGGTCTCAGCCTTAATTGTGCCTTTCATGTTCCACACAATTTGGGCTCTGTAGTATGACAGCAGCCAGAACACTGTCCAACTGCCCTGGAACAAA